ATTATTGGCCAAAAGGAAAATTATATTGTAACAATTTACTCCATTTTAACACAATGAAGATTCAAGTACATTGAAGAATGAATGTTATATCTGTAGTTTATTATGCTCTTAAAATTTTATCTCATTTTTTATTGAATGCACTCTTTGCCACATTTTTAAGGTTTTGTAAAGAATTCTTTAAACATATTATTAATAATACCGGGGATTTAGCTCAGTGGTTTCGCCACCTGCTGCGCAAGCACAAGGACCTGAGTTCGATCCCTGGTACCAAAAAAATATTTAAAAAAATATATTATTAGCAACGTGATTGTTAGTATTTTCTATACTCACACCAGTTAACTGTTATCATAATTTATTATGGATCATTATAATAACACTTTATGGTTCTTTTGAGCTAAACCTTAAGCTAAGGTTTCGGTTCCTACGTGCATCTCCAGCCGTATGATGCTTTCAGACTAACTGTACCGAGCGGTTTCCACACGCGTCTCCTCCACTGCAGCCACTCGCACAATCGTGAGTAAGCCTTCTGGAGTAGAGACCATCGCTGTGCCAACCGCGGAGACGCCCTGCAGCAGAGACAGCGCTTGCACCCTGGGCCTGGTTCCCAGGAACATATTTTTTTAGCTGTAAGATGTTGTGGAAATTTTGCAGCAGGATTACATTAATCTATATATTTAACATATTAAGTAAATCTATGCAAAGTTTATCTTAATTTTTCTCTATAGGTCATTTTAATTTTCTACTTTCACACTGCAGACGACTGTATTGTTTTATTTGATAAATAAATAATTGTAAAAATTTCCACGTTTTTCTCTCTACATCATTTTAAGTTTCTATGTAGACAGGTTCACATACGCAGATGTGTCAGAGGTGGCGAATTCAAGGACCTCCCTGAACAGCACGAACTCCAGCTACACCACTGGTGGCGGTCCCCACAGACCAGAGGTCCTCTCCAAAGTTTCTTGTCCCCATGGCAAGAGAAATGGGTGTCTTGGGTGTCCCTGTCATGGCCAGCACTGCCAGGCCTCTCCCAAAGGCCCCACTGGGCTCAACCCCTGACCGACAGGAGAGAGCACTCGGCTTCTGGGACAGCGACACCACGCCCCGTCCAAAGACGCAGCTGCCACCCAGCTCTCGGCCACACCCAGGCCATCTGATTTCAGGCGCCCCTCTATCTGTCTGTCCTCCACCAGCCACTTCCACACACAGCCAGCCCTCTGTCATCCACGTCTCTTGGCCACTAACACCCTCCTTCCCAGAAATGCAGGCAGCACCGCCTGGCTCAGCAGCCTTTGTATTCTCCTGTCTCTTCCTCCCCTCAGCCTCATCAGAGCAAGGAAGCAGAGCACAGGCGGGAACACAGGAGAGGAACAGTGGTTGCCCAGCCTCCCAGTGCTCCAAGCTTGGCCAGCTGGGCACTCAGAGTGTGCCATCCCATAGGTGGCAGGCATACATGGTGGTGGGTGGAAGGCATACAATGCCAACTATTCTTCAGAGTGCAGGGGAAGAGACCCCACATGGGCAGGGGCGTGAATAGTCAACTTTCCTGTCACTGGGACAAAATATCTGACACCCACAACTTTAAGGAGTAGAGGTTTAATTTGGCTCACAGTTCAGGGAATTCAGTCCATAGATGGCCAGCTCCAAGGCAGAAGCTGCATGGTGGAAGCTGAGGCCGGAGAGAGCTGCTCAGGGCATGGCAGATGGGAAGCGGAGAAGGGAGGAGCCAGGAACAAGGACACACCCTTCCAGGTCACACCCCAGGGACAGCCTCTTCCCACCAGGCTCCGCCTCCTACAGCACATTCATCTATGAACTCATCCACAGCTGGAGCCACTGATAAGTATAGCACCCCATGATCCAATCACCTTCCATACACAGGAGAGTTGGGGGGGCACTTTAGATCTAAACCAATACAGGAATCTTGTGAGCTGGACTTTTAGGGAGGAGCAGAATACCTCTGCGTGATAAGAATTAAAGGTTTTCCTGGGTGGAGTAAGCGCACATGGAACACAAACACCAGCTTCATGCTGGCACATTTTATTTTGCATTGATAATAATCATAGATTAAACCATACGACAGGACCATTTTTGCAGGGAAAAAATAGTGTGACATTGGCAGCTTCATAGGGTCTGGTTCATTGTGACAGTGACCCTAACCGAGTTTTTCTGAATTGCCAGCACCCATGACCGTGCTCTACACATACAGATTCATTTAATCCCTTCCAAGACTGCCCAAGGAGGTAAGTGTCACGGCTCCACACGCAGATAAAGAGTCCCAGAGAGTCGAGGCAACTGCCCAAGGCCACAGAGCAAAGGAAGCAGAGGCAAGACCCAAACCCAGCCCAGGTGGCTCCTGAGCTTTCGCTGATGCCCCCTACTCTAGCTGCCCCCTCCCAAGTCTGCTGCTAAAGCCAGGGACACGGCAATGGGTCCTAAGTGGGAGGGTGATGGATCAGGCTTACAAAGTATGATTTAAAAAATACAGTGAATGTTAAATTTTTTAAAAAAGTATCACAGTCAAACATGCACTGCCATGAATCCCCTTCACAATACTCCCGCTCATTTGAAACACACTTATCCCATTGTTGTTGTCACTTTCTCCAGCCGTTCGTGAGTGTCTAGTTGAGCTGTCATGGCTGCCTGGATGTTCTAAATTGGTTCCAAATGTTTCCCTTTAGGGTCATTTCGACTTTGGGGAAGAGTCAGACAAGGTAGATGAGGACACAGTGTCATGTTTTATGAGCCTGCCTTTCCCTTGGATGAGACTTGGCAGCGGAATTTGCTGTGTTTTCATCACACCTCATAAGGACACTCAGGGAAGAGGACTCCAGAGCTGCTTCAGAAAGTGGCAAGAACCATGCAATAAGTGTGTTCAAAGCAAAGGTGAATATTTTGAGGGGCGCAAGAGCAATGAGCTTCTACTGTCATAATTTTTAAGATTTGCACTCACACCATATTTTTGGATCAATCCTGGTGTGTTAAAAGGGCTATTTCTTTAATCACTAAAGGCTTTCCAGCCTGGTCAGGATATTTTGCGTCTTCTCAGCCTGCCCTGCTTCTTTCTTCTTTCAGGTCAAACACATAATGCCATACCTGACACGTGACAGACTGAGATGCTGTCCTTCCAAACTCCATGACCTCCTCTGCTCTGGGTCTCTGATGCCCTGGCACAGTTCCTAGCATGCAGTTCCCCGTGGGAGGCCCTTCCCAAAGCCAGTCCCGTGGGCACCCAATCTGCTTCTGCCCAGGGCAGGGGGCTCTGTTCCCAAGGATCTGTGACAACTGAACCAGACCAAGCCTGCAGCCACACATACAGCTGGACAAGGTGCCTGTGATCTTCTAGAGAAAGAGCCAGCATCCCTGCCTTATTCATCCAACCCCTATTCAGAGGCCTCTTAAGGGCCAGGTGCTCAGCAAACACAGGGACAAAACATTTCAGCCTCTTGCCACCGACACACACAAACCCCCATAGACTGGAAATCTACAACCACAGGAAGCTCCCCTGGGGCTGGCCACACTGTGGGGCTGATGCTGAAGGACTCAGAACAGCTGAGGAGCCTGGCATCAGGCACCGAGCTGCACTTCCGTCTCGCCATTCACTGTTTCTTTCTCCTGTGTTCCCAAACTTCTGCCGTAGATTTTTGCCCGGTATCAGTGAGAGCAGGAATCAGAGGTTTCTTTCCTGGCACAGAGCTCCCAGGGTGGGACTTGGGGAGGAAGCCCCAGCCCCACCGGGTCCCCCATGCACTGGTCACGTAATGGTCAGAGCACCAGCTCTGAGACCACCGGCTGGGTTGGGGTCCCAGCTCTGCCACTCAGAACTGTGTGGCCCAGGACACCCATTCCATCCTCTCTGCTCCAGTCACATGCGAGTCCCCCATGCCCTGTGAGCACAAAATCACCCCATCTTCACAGATACTCCCTTTGCACATGGTGCCTTCCACTGCTTGGGCTCAGAGGTGAAAATCAAGTCAGAGGTGACTGTCCCAAGAGGACATCAAAGCTGCGAAGAAGTTCCTGATGCTAGGCCTGTAGACAAGTCTGCCAGTCAGAGCAGAGGAGCTCAGGGCCGGTCACAACAGTGCTCCCGTTCTGAATGCCTCATCTTGTGCTGGCACCTTAACCAATGCTTTCTATGCATGAGTTCAGTGAGTGTCCCAACAACCCAGAGAGGCGTTGTCTTCATGTTTTAGATTAAAAATTAATGTAATCATGGAGACCGGAAAGAAGCCATGGGAATAAGAGAAGGAAAAAGCAATAGAATATTGAAATAAAATGAATATGATCGGTTTCCCCCTAACCAATGGCTGCTTTTTTTTCTTTAGCATCTGTAATGCTCTCAGCACACACAGCTGTTTCCCTGATTTTTATTCCCATGATGGCAGCAGTTGCTGCTGTCCCCATTTTACAGGTATGGAGAGTTACACACAGGCAGAGTGTGCAATATCACACTGGACTAGCTGGGGTTTGGACTCAGGTCTGCTGGACCCCAAAGCTCACAAGTTGGGCTTCGCCAAGAGGGGAGAGGACTCTGATAGCCCTCGGGCTCCCAGGCCCCAGGAGCAGGAGGAGCGAGGTGTTGGGCAGAGCATCTCCAGGCTGGGGCCCATCTTTGCCCCCGCCCTACTGTGAGAAGGTGACTTCTGGAACAGCCTGTCACAGCAAAAGTAAGTGGGCCTGCATGAAGTGACCGCCAGCAGGGCCCCGAGTCAAGCCTCCAGCTTTTCATACTTGATGTCCAGCGTTCAAGGAAAAATAACAAGACACACAGCACACAACTCGGCCAGAAACAAAACATTAAAAATAAATAATAGAAAGAAGCCAGGAATGAGGCGCTAGGGGGTCACTGGGTAGTGGTCAGGTTCTATTTGTTGACCTGGCAGTGGCTTTCTTGGGGGTATGACACTTGGATAATTGGATGAACATACTTAGACTTTGCATGTGAGCTATCCTTTCAATAAAAAAGAGAGGAACGATAGTTGACAGGGTTCTCTCACCTTGAGAGATGCCGGATGGGCTGCCTCTGCTGGCCACTCAGCCTCAGGGGCAGGCCAGGACCCCGGACACTGTGGGCTCTGGAGGACAGTGTCCATTCTGGAATCTGGCAGATATTCCTGAGCTAGAAGAGAATATTCCCAATCAAGCCTCTACTCAGGAATCTATTTTTAAAGCCAAGAAGTCTCGAACCTGGGAGCAAGCCTTTTCTTTCTCTTGCTGTCCCTAGCCATGCTCAGAGGTCCACACCCCGTGACAGGTCCCTCTCTATGCCTCTGAACTCTGTGAGGGCCACATCCCCAGTGACCCTGTCATGGTCTGGGCCATCCTAGAACACCGCCCACCTGCCTCGACTTCCCCTGCTGGCTGCAAGTCCCTGCAGTGCATAGCTACCACCTCTGCTCCTACAGATCCTGTGTCCCCACCATCTCTTTCTGGGGGTGGGGTGCACAGCAGCCCCCACAGAGCTCTCCTGTGTGTGGAATTATTCACTGGGGATGAATTCCAGGACCAGAGGAAAAAACAATATTCACAGGGAAACGGGCTGTGGCACATGGGTCTCTCTGTATTTCCCAGGTGTGCCCAGGTGCTGAGAGATGATGACAGGGAAGGGAGAAGCAGGTTCCCGCCCCCTCTCCTGTCCGCGCCCCTGGCGGTGGGTGGTTCCGCCCTGCTCCCCCCACCCATCCTGCGGGCCTGGGCTGCACTGACCTCTTCCTGCGGCAGTGGCAGCGTCCTCGGAGCCCAAGTCCAGGTGGCTGGTCTGGAAGAAAAGACACTGGGTTACTCTGCGACTGCAGCCAGAGGGTGGAACTGGGCCAAAGCAGGGCCAGGCACCTGCCCTGTAGCCCCTGTGCTCCGGGCCAATGAGCTCTGCCTGTGTGGGAAACTGCAGCCTGGCCCTGCACTTTGGGCCACCACCTTGGAGGAAGCTGGATTCAAATTCAGGTTTGCCCTCAGGACACACCAGGAAAGAAACAATTCCATCCCTCTACTCAAATCAAATCTCCAATCCCAGCCTGAAACAAATGCTTTTTTAGAAGCTGCTGTACGGCAAACATGGACCAATCAGCATACAAATTTAATAACAAAAAACAAAAAATAAAATGAGGGTGTGTGGTGCTCTGGCACCTCCCTGGGCCCCTGATTTGTTGGCATGGGATCTGGGGGTTTGGTGTGACCTCAAGCCCCCCTTGAACAGATCTGCAGAGGCGGGTCACCACAGACACTCTGTGGGTTACCCACAGGCCCTGCAAAGGCGGAACCAGAGCCCCAAAGGCATTAAACAGACTTCCAGGCAGCTCTGTCCTCAGGGGGGATGCGGGGCCTGTGGATCCCAGTCTCTGTCCCATCACCCCCAGGCTGGGCCCACCTGCACCTGCAGACCCGAGCTCTGCACTCCAAAAGCAATGAGGAAACCGGAACAGGCCACAGATGCAGCTCCTCCTCCCGCTCCCTTGCTGTGCCCCATGTGCACTTTGGGGAAATATTCCACAAGTCCTACAAGGTGGGAGCTAACGGGAAAACAATCATCTGATCCTTGGCAGTCTGGGCTTGGGCCTGGGCTTTGGGGAGCACAGAGCCCCAAGAAGCAGCTGCCCTGCATCCCGAGCTGTGACGGCCCTACTTCAGGTGACAGTGCAGTCACCCAAGACCTCAGGGGGAAAGGCTGGGGTGGGTCAATGGAGGCAGCCTGTCCAGGGGACCCGGGCAGCACCAGGGCAGGGCCGGTACAGTATGGGCACCCGGGGTGTGCACCCCCCAGGGAGGGTCCTGCCCTCCCCAGTCAGGCCTTGGGCGCAGGAAACCCCTCTCCATCCTACACCCCAAAACCCATTAGGGTCTCCCCAGCTGCCAGGCCTCCCTATCCGCTCTCAGCCAGAGCCAAGGCGGCCAGTGGGAGCCATCTGTGCTCCCTGAAGCGACAGTTATTGCCCTGCGGGGAGCTCTGGACCCGCTTTCCTCCGGCTGCCAGGGGGAGGAGCCATCCCCAAGCGCATCATCGGCTGTTGGAGCAGAGGCTGCACAGCCTGATCCGGGACCTCTAGCACCCCAGCCATCTCCCCAAAGCTGCCCCAACAGCCCAGGTCACTAAGGCACTGGGTGCAAAGTACCTGCAGGTGGCTGCTGGGTGCCAGACCCAGGGTGCAGCCCCCTCCCACCACGCCTCCTTCCGGGACCCCGCCCTGCAGCTGGCCCTGGGCTCTCTTGGCTTCTTCAACACATCACACTCTTCTCACTGCCTTACACCTGGACACCCTCCACACACTTCCAGCAACAACAGCCACAGCCTAGCAGGGCGCTGGCAGGTGCCAGACCCGAGCTACTGCTCGCCTGCCTTCTCCAGCCCAGCTGCGGGCCGTGTACTGACTCCCACCACCGTGTCCCAGCCCAGCACCCTTGGCAAGACACAAGCTGCTCAGGGACACACATGTTCGGGCAAGACCTGTACCCTCGGGAGCCTCAGAGTCCTCGTCTGGAAAGGGGATCGGAACAGCGCGGGCCTCTGAGGGGCTCCCCCAGTTCACTCACAGCCAGCACTCTGAGCAGCAGTACAGGCATGGTCCCCTCTTACAGCCCAGAGCTAAGGAACCTGGCCCAGGAACCCCGGTCGAAGGCACCACAACTGCCAGGCAGGTTGGACCACCTCCATTGTACAGCTCCAGAAATCGGGGTCTCACCCCAGGACACACTCATGCAAGTCGGCCCCCATGTGGGCCCCTTCATGACCCTCCTACAAGGAGTGATCCTGCCTCTGCACTGGTCCCTCTTCCTCCCCCACACCCGGCACCAGGCCTGGCTGGGGGCAGCGGGTGCTCGGTGAACACTGTGGCAGGAAGTGGCAGAGCCAGGGTTTCATGTCTTCCAGACCACAGAAATGAGGTGTCCTGGGAGAGCTGAGGTGTCAAATAGCACAACGTGGACTGGGCAGACTAAGGTCGCCATCGGGCTGGGGTGAGCTCGGAGCTCAGGCAGAACCGGAACGGGAAGTGGCGACATGACACGCTGCCATTGCATGGAGCACACGGCCGTTAGCAGGGCAGGTGGCGCAGATTTAAGAGTCTGTGGCCCTGGATTCACACTCTGGCTCTGACCCAGCTGCCAAGCAGCACCAGGCAGACCTTGTGGCCCCCAAGGTCCCCTCCTGCAGGGCGGGGTGGGGCAGGAGGGGACTCAGATAGACTGGAGTGGCCTGGCGCAGCCCCTCAGGGAGCAGCCAGACAGCCCCAGCTGTGTTTACGCGGGAGCTTTGTCCGCCCTCGCGCCATCAGGAGCCCAGCTAGTCTTCGGGGCGTTGCTGGCTGGTGCCCAGGAATAGGGCGGTGTGTGTGCGCATGGGCAGCCCTGGCTGAGGGCCCACAGGTCCCTGATGGGCACTGCTGTTCAGAGTCAGGCAGAGCCCAGGAGCACTGTGTGGCCCTGGGCCTGGAGACCCAGCACCCACCATGGCCAGGTGACATCCAGCAACACTCCTGCCCGGGCTCTTGTCCACTCTTGTCAGGAGGGGACAGCCTCATTCACAAGGTCGTTATCTCACTGCTCAGCAAACAGTCCCTGCAAGCTTCTCCACGCCAGGCACTGGGGAGACACAGAGGGCTGTGGAGCTGCCCAGGCCCCAGCAAAGGGGACAGTCCCCCTGCATGTGTCATGTCATGTGGGTTCCTGCATAATGGTGCTTGGGGCAGCTGCCTGGGCAGGTCCCATGGATCTGCGCCTTGAATGATGGGTAAGAGGCTGCCGGGAAGACCACACCAGCTGCCAGGCAAGGGCAGAGGTTGGAGGCACGCGTGACAACATCAGCACCATGTTTAAATACAAAGTGTCCCCCCAAAAAAGACTCACGTGTTGAAGCCTGATCCCCATGTAGTAATGTGCAGGGATTGAGAGAAGGGACTGGATCATGGGGTGATCATCTCATCAGTGGACTGTTGGTGACATCACAGCCGAATCTCTCCCTCTCTCTCTCTCTCTCTCTCTCTCTCTCTCTTTCTCCCTCTCTCTCCTTCCCATTCTCTAATAATTGTTTTGTT